ATCCAGTCTTAGCTCCAAAAGGCCGTCTGGAAACAGCGAGGAACCAGCCCCTGCCGTGTCCGCCCCGCCTCTTGGGTGCATGCTGGGGAGGGGTCACCCTTTGTGAGGAATGAAGAAATGCATCATCGCCTGGAAGTGGCCAGCAAATGGCCCTCGCCTACTTCACATATCTGGCTTGATGGGCTCTGCTCTGGTCCCACCCCCTTCTGCCAGAGACCCTCAGATCTGTCCCACTCCTGCCCAGGCCCCCACAGGCACCTTGACACGAATGATGTAGAGCTCGCCACGCCCACCCAGTAGGCCACACCTGCCCCCCGCCCCCAAGGGCAACTGCAATGGTGATGCAGCCCTCAATGAAATTGAGTTTGACACCCCTGATCTAATGCAATGTTTCTCAAACTTGGGCACTTTCAAGCGGCGTGGACTTCAACTCCCAGAATTCCCCAGCCAGCAAAGCTTAAAGGTGCCCAAGCTTGAGGAACACTAATCTAACTGGCTCAGGTGGGGAATCCTTCGGAATTCAGCCTTTCTTTTCTTGCAGGTGAGTCTAGCTACCCCTGGGGATGAAGGAGGCCCAGAAGAACTACTCCGTAGTCCATCCTCCTGATCCGTTTCTGCTCCTCCTTCGAACTGCCTCAGTGCCCCAGGCGAACCTGTCATACTTTTAAGGATTTTAAGAAGTGATTGGGCAGCCGTTTGTTCCGGGATGGCCTAGGATCTCCTGCCTTGAGCAGGGGGTTGGGCTAGAGGACCTCCCGAGGTCCCTTCCAATTCTTATTCTGTAATTCTGGATGGCTTGAGAGGTTGGCAACCATCCTGGCCTCGGAAGAGGACCTGCCACCAAGGAGGCCGCTATTTTGTGGCCCTGCTCAGAAGGACCCGCCTGGACAGGGATCTTCATCCCGGCCATCCTCTTCCTCCAGCCCTGCCGTGGACCCAGCATGGGGGCAGGCCTCTCCACCGGGGCCGTGATTGCCATCGCCTTCAACTGCCTCATTGCCTTCCTTGTCCTGGCACTGCTGCTCATCCTTTGCAAGGCCTGCCGGACGCCATCCTGTCCCGATCAGAGTCCGCCTTCCGAATCGGATGAGAGAGGCAACGAAGACAGGTACCTGCTGCAGCCCTGACTTAGCCCAGGACTGGGCTTGCGTTGGTTCTGCCGCCTTCACCTCGCCTTGGGTGGACTGGTGGCATCTCGGTACCATGGAGGCGGGGGACTGCAGTGAGGCTCGGGAACCGAGAGGACCAGCCAGCTGGAACCGATCGGCCAGCGTTCAAGGATTCATAGCCATGGCCATCTCCGAAGCAGAAGGCTAGCCCAGCCGTGGAAGAGCAACTTGGAGTCCTTCCTCTGACGCCAGCCCCAAAGAGGTTCTCCTTGTCTTCTCCCAGCTGGCTGAGAGAGACCTGAAGGCAACCAGCAATAGCAGCAGGACAGAGGTGGTCCAAGGATGGGAACTCGGAAGACTTGGGCGCAGGAGATGCTTTGGGGGTGGAGAAGAGAAGAGGGGTGCACTCTGGCAAAGAAACCTCGCTCGGTTGCCCCCCAGGGGGAGGGCAGGTGGTCTCCCACCTCTTCACTGGACTTTTGTTTTCATCTCCAGGTGATAATTCCCCAGGGGGGGCTGAGTCGGGGCCCGGGGCTCACTAACTTGAAGCCCGGGGTCAGCTTTGAGAGAGGCAGGGGATGAGTGCGGAGGGAAGGGGGGGACAGCAAATCAACGAGAGCCCCTTCCATCGTCTTCCCCACATGGCAGGGAGCAGAGTTGCTGGCAGCTCTAAGGATCCCAAGAAACAAGACCCATTTAGCATGCCAAAGTGGGGTCTGTGTGTGTTTAGGATGGGGCACGGGGAAGGGGCTGATTATGGGGCCCTTGGTGTTCTCCGAGCTGGGTGGTTTTCTTGCAGACGTTTCATGACCCAACTAGGTAGCCTCATCAGGGCTAGAAGGGAGTGGGGTTGGCAAGGAGAAGAACTGTGGGGTCCTTGGTGCTTACTGAGCTTGGTGGTTTTCTTGCAGACGTTTCATGACCCAACTAGGTAGCCTCATCAAGGCTAGAAGGGAGTGGGATTGGCAGGGAGGAGGAGGAGGAGGAGGAGGAGGAGGAGGAGAACTGTGGGGTCCTTGGGGTCGTGGGTGCTCTCTGAGCTTGGTGGTTTTCTTGCAGACGTTTCATGACCCAACTAGGTAACATCATCAAGGCTAGAAGGGAGTGGGGTTGGCAGGGAGGAGGAGGAGGAGGAGGAGGAGGAGAACTGTGGGGTCCTTGGTGCTCTCTGAGCTTGGTAGTTTGCTTGCAGACGTTTCATGACCCAACTAGGTAACATCATCAAGGCTAGAAGGGAGTGGGGTTGGCAGGGAGGAGGAGAACTGTGGGGTCCTTGGGGTCCTGGGTGCTCTCTGAGCTTGGTGGTTTTCTTGCAGACGTTTCATGACCCAACTAGGTAACATCATCAAGGCTAGAAGGGAGTGGGGTTGGCAGGGAGGAGGAGGAGGAGGAGGAGGAGGAGGAGGAGGAGGAGGAGGAGGAGGAGGAGGAGGAGAACTGTGGGGTCCTTGGGGTCGTGGGTGCTCTCTGAGCTTGGTGGTTTTCTTGCAGACGTTTCATGACCCAACTAGGTAACATCATCAAGGCTAGAAGGGAGTGGGGTTGGCAGGGAGGAGGAGGAGGAGGAGGAGGAGGACTGTGGGGTCCTTGGGGTCCTGGGTGCTCTCTGATCTTGGTGGTTTTCTTGCAGACATTTCATGACCCAACTAGGTAGCATCATCAGGGCTGGAAGGGAGTGGCTTTTGCCTCCTGTTTATATACAAGTAGTTGACCCTGTCAATGTTCAGTAGGACCCTGTCGAAGGCTTGGGATGGGCTCTCGTATTTTTGTCCCGCCTTTGGTGGGGGCCTGAGGGGGGGGGTCTCCCTGGACCAGAGAGCTCGGGGTTTCCTCCGATGCAAAGACAGAAGCGTTTTTTTCCTCTTCTCCTGCTCAACGGAAGTAAAGCCTCCTTGCTCGAGACTGACTTTCCCGGCTAATAAAGGACAGCACCATTTCTAACTGGAAACATTCAAAGCTGCCTTGGATCTGGGCTCCAAAATAAAATAAATCTGGATTTTCCAAAACAGGAGTGCTTTTTATTATTTATTTTAAAAGGGACTTCCAGCGGCTCCTCTGGCTGTGAAAGGGTCTTGGCATACTGAGGGTATACGGGAGTCCTCGAGTTACCCCAGTTCATTTAGTGACGATTCAAAGTTATAATGGCCGGGGGGGGGGAAATGAGTCATCACCGTTTTTCACATTTACAACCATTGCAGCATCTCTACGGTTATAGGAACCGGACAATTGGCGACCGGTTCACATTTATGATGGTCGCAGTGCCCCAGGGTCACCTGATCCCCTTTCGCGAACCTTCTGACAAGCAAAGTCAAATGGGGAAGCCAGATTCACTCCAGAACCGTGTTGCTAACTTAACAGCTGCAGTGACTGGGTTGGACTAGATGACCTCCGAGGTCCCTTCCAACATTATTATTATTATTATTCACTGAACAATTGTGATTCACTTAATAACTGGCTAGCAAGGTCGAACAATGGGGCAAAACCCATTTAACAGTGGTCTTGTTTAGCGACAGAAATTTGGGGCTCTGTTTTTATTTATTTATTTATTTATGAGACTTATATACCGCTTTAAGTGCAAGCACACTCTCTAAGCGGTATACACCAGTAAGCAATGTATGTATGTATGTATGTATGTATGTATGTGTATATATATATATATATATATATATATATATATATATATATATATATATATATATATATATATATATATATATATATATATTTACATTGCCCCCAACAATCTGGGTCCTCATTTTACCTACCCCGGAAGGATGGAAGGCTGAGTCAACCTTGAGCTGGTGAGATTTGAACCGCTGACCTGCTGAACACAGTCAGCTAAAGTGGCCTGCAGTACTGCACTCTAACTGCTGCGCCACCTCGGCTGTTGTGGTTCATAAGTCAAGGACTGCCTGTAAAAAAGCCGGCACCCACACTGTGTTTATGTGTGTATAAAGGCTGCTGCAACCCACCCCCTCTGGCCCCCTCTCGAGGCAATGGGGAGCTATGGGAGGGTCTCCCCCAAAGCAAGGGGCAGGCTTTGCTTTCTGCTCTTCCATCTTGCAGACACACCTGTGCCTTTACAGAGGGGGAGGGGCTGGTGGGGAGGAGCAATGGGGCAGGGGACAGGTTATCTGGCTTTCATTTAAGGGGAGGGGGGTCTCTGTTGCACCCCCACCAGACTTTGGGCGATTCTCCTCCAAGCTTACACGGCGGCGTTTTAAGCCAGGGGTAGCAAGCACAGCAACTTTACGACCTGTGGACTTCAACTCCCAGAATTCCCCAGCCAGCCATGCTGGCTGGGGAATTCTGGGAGTTGAAGTCCACAGGTCGTAAAGTTGCCCACATCTGAGTTAGGCCAGGTAGAAAAACAAATTACAGGGCTGTGGGAGAGACCGCGAAAGGGGAAAAGTCAGCCCAAAAGGAAGCTGGAAAAAAAGCAGGATGATGGCCAGCAGAGCAAAACAGGGAGGTGGCCACCAAGTCCTTTGACTCAAAGCTGCCCCCAAAGTGCTTCCTGCAAAAGGCAACTGGACATTTTTTGAGAGGTTTTTTTTTTCCCCCTCAAAAATGTTCCACCTCTGGTGGAAGAAGCTTCTTTGGTTCTGACTGAAGTTCTGACGCAGCTTCTTGGGGGAGAAGAGAAACATTTTCCAAGAAGTAAAACCCAGAGAGCCCAGGTGCCTTTTGGAAAAAGCAGCTTCGGGACCACCAGGACCCGGATGGCGAGCGCGAGAAAAAGAGGAATGTCTCCCTGAGTTTTCGAATCGCTTTTCACCAAAGCGAGTGGGGGGAAGTGTTGGCAAAGCACGGAGGATTGAGGCCTGCTGCACACTGGCTCTTTGTGCAAAACGGGGCCTCGGGGGCAAGGAGACTATTTGTGCAGCTGGATGGTGTCAAATCTCCACTTTTATTTTTCTGCATTTGAACAACAACAACAAAAAAAAAACCCACCACCTTTTTGTGTTGGAAATAAAGGCCACTTTCACGCAGCCGCACACACCACCCCCTGGACAAAGCGTTCTCGCGTCCGGACTCGGGGGGTGCTTCCCTTCCGTGGGGAGAAGGGCAGGTTGGACGTGGCTCACTTGCTGGTTTTGGCTGCCGGTTCTCTCACCAAATTCAAGAGTTTGTCCAGTTTTGTGATTTCCACTTCGGGCCCTTTCTGGACCTCTTGACCCTTTTTCTCCTGCAAGGAGAGAAGCAGGAAGTTGTCAGCGTTTCTTTCCCCTTTTGCAAAGAAAACATGAGACCACGGTGCAAAACTGGAATCACAGTGCGTTTGTGTGTGTGTTTCTGTGTGTGTGTGTTGGTTGTTGGAGAGGGCTGAAGAGGAGGCACCCCAGTGAGGAGGACAAGACTGCTGTTTGTTCAGTGTGGTTCATCTGGTTAGGGAACTAACTATGAGGTTCGCTTTGCACAAGACTGCCAAGTGATAAATTGGGCTAGGTTGCCACAGTCGGTGAAACCACAATAAAGGATACACACAAACAAAAATGACAGCCAAAACTCTCCCAACCTCTAGGAATACCAATAGCCACACATTTAACAATACCAATAGCCACAGCTGTACTCTGCCAGGAATTATCCAGAACCAAAGAAGGATGAAAGAACCAATGTAATTTACAAAATCAGCTGCAACTGATTCTACTTGGGACAAACTTCATCTCGACTGAAAACCAGGATCCACGAACCCCGGCTGGCAGTCCCACGATCCCAAATCCTTATCTCGATCCACACTGACAACACCAGTTCAATTGGAGCAACACTAAAGTCATCGCCCGCGCTACTACCCGCCACGCTCGTGAGTTGATCGAAGCCTGGCACTCCACAAACAATTCCATCAACCAGCACATCGACCCACAAACAGCCTACGGACCCCTCAGGATCCAAACCAGCGATGGACCGATCCTCAACCATCCCATGCAAGCCCCCTTCACCCCCACTAACAGTTCCCCACCAGTGACCCTCCCCTGATGTGACTGCCCATCATAAGACCCTTACCTGACCCATCACAAGACCCCTCACAAGACCCTCACCTGACATGACCCACACCTGACCCATCACTAGATCTTCATCTGACCCATCACAAGACCCACACCTGACCCATCACAAAACCCTCATTTGATCCACACCTGACTCATCACAAGACCCATACCTGACCCATCACAAAACCCTCATTAGATCCACACCTGACCCATCACAAGACCCATCACTGACCACACAAAACTCTTACAAGCAGCAAAATGCTGACGTCCCCTAAACTCCACTGAAGACGTTATCTAATCTGGTAGCGAAATGTTCAGAAACCAACCCACCTTCTCCTTCACCCTCCTTCTCCACCTGAGCTAAAGCTATTGTTAATTGCGAAGTCGTGTCCGACCCATCGCGACCCCATGGACAACATTCCTCCAGGTCCTCCCGTCCTCCACCATCCTCTGGAGTCCATTTAAATTCACGCCTACTGCTTCAGTGACTCCATCCAGCCATCTCATTCTCTGTCGTCCCCTTCTTCTATTGCCCTCAATCTTTCCCAGCATTAGGCTCTTCTCCAGTGAATCCTTCCTTCTCATTAGGTGGCCAAAGTACTTGAGTTTCAACTTCAGGATCTGGCCTTCTAAAGAGCAGTCGGGGTTGATCTCTTCTAGGACTGACCGGTTTGAACGCCTTGCAGTCCAAGGGACTCGCAGGAGTCTTCTCCAGCACCAGAGTTCAAAGGCCTCAATTCTTTTGCGCTCAGCCTTTCTTATGGTCCAACTTTCACAGCCATACATTGTGACTGGGAAAGCCATGGCCTGGACTATACGTAAAGCTATTGCAAACCACAATAAAAGTTAAAACAAGTTCAGCTTCCCCCTCTTTCATTCCTACCTGCCCCCCCACCAGAAGCCACAGCATGTGGCTCCACATCAAGAGGGCTTGTTCACCCACACAAGAATCATCCACACAAATGGATGGAAACTAATCAAGGAGACAATAAACCTAGAACTAAGGAGGAATTTCCTGACAGTGAGAACAATTAACCAGGGGAATGGCTTGCCCTCAGAGGTTGTGGGTGCTCCATCATGGGAGATTTTAAAGAAATGATTGGACAACCATTTGTCTGAAATGGTATAGGGCAGGGGTAGGCAACCTTGGCTCTTTTAGGACTTGTGGACTTCAACTCCCAGAATTCCTGAGCCAGCTTGGCTCAGCTTGGAAACCTCTCCCTTTCCCCTCAGCAGGGCTGGCTCAGGAATTCTGGGAGTTGAAGTCCACGAGTCATAAAAGAGCCCAGGTTGCCTACCCCTGGTATAGGGTCTCCTGCCTGAGCAAGGGGTTGGACTAGAAGACCTCCCAGATCCCTTCCGACTATCTCATTCTGTTATTCTGAATCTCTCTGAAGGATGGGGACATCAGCTCCCTCCCCCCCTCCAAACCCTGCAGTTTCATGGCAAGGGGGCCTTTAACTACCTTCTGGAAGCTGAATAACTATTTTTAAACACCATTTTTGCTTTCTTCCGTTATACAAACAGGCAGCAGAAACCTGAGCCGGGGCCAGAGAATTGCTGGCTGTTGTACTCCAAATTGCAACGCCTGCAAAACTATACGTGGCCATGAGACAGCAGTGCTTTATTGGTTGTCGGGGGCAACTCGTGAAGCTACGTGGGGATCCAAGCCACCTCGGCTCCTGCCCTTTGCGAAACAGGCAGCCTGCCTGCTCCACGACTTGTTTAACTTGCAGAAGAGAAGCTAGTCAGGAGCTAACCATGGCTAACCATGTTGCTGATGCCAGCGATTTTCACTGCGGCAGCAGCTTGCAGCAAGCCAGACCAGGCTAGGCTAATCTTGGTTTGGGGCAGCCAAAGGATATGCTTGGTGCAGAAGACACCAAGGTGTGGAAAACGCCCATTTGCCCCAGGAAAGGGGTGAACTGCAGCACCCCCTTGGATGCAGAGACTGGAGGGAAGCTGCAGGCGGGTTTCGCGCCCTGCCTGACCCCTCTTTCTTCTCTGGCAAGGAGCTTGACTTCTGTAGTTCTGCCAGGAGAGTGGAGCTGCTGGGCTCCTTCGGGAATTGGGCAGAAACACACACAGGCAGGCGGCCTGCAGGGCATGGTCCAAAAAAAGTCCAAGATGGGGCCACCATGAAGTTCCACCTAGGTTTTATGTGCAAAGCAAGCCGAAGTCGCAAATCAGGTCAAAGCTGAAATACCGCTAGAAAGGAATATTTGTAGCTCTGAGCTGAACTGTGTTGCTCCTTGGTGCTCTCTGGGCTTGGTTGTTTTCTTGCAGTTGTTTCATGACCCAACTAGGGAACATCATCAGTGGTAGAAGGAAGGGGATTTACAGACAGCGGGAGGAGGAGGAGGAGGAGGAAGAAGAGGAGGAGGAGGAGGAGGACGACTGTGGAATCTTTGATGCTCTCTGAGCTTGATTGTTTTCTTGCAGACATTTCATGACCCAACTAGGCAACATCATCAGTGCTAGAAGGTGTGTGTGTGTGTATATATATATATATATATATATATATATATATATATATATATATATATATACACGCCGCTATGTATTTGGACAGGGTTTCTATTTTGCATCAAAGGCAATAATTTTTAAATGCACCGCCAGGCGTATAAATTAGAATGGTGAAAACTGATGCCCATCTGTGTCCCTTTGGCCTTCCTTCTTGGGGACACGTTCTCTTTCATTGCCATTGGCTCAGCCGGGAGAATTTTTCAAAGACCTGCCTGCCAACTTTGCTCGGGGAGCTTTGGAGCTAACTCAAGGGGCGCTTAACTCGGCGTTGTACCCTTAGAGCAGGGGTCTTCAAACTGGGCCACTTTAAGACTTGTGGACTGCCATGATATAAAAAAAAGAGGTTGAGACTCTAGAAAGAGTGCAGAGAAGAGCAACAAAGATGATCAGGGGACTGGAGGCTAAAAGATACAAGGAACTGTTGCTGGAATTGGGTATGTTTAGTTCAGTGATGGCGAACCTTTTAGAGACCAAGTGCCCAAACTGCAACCCAAAACCCACTTATGCATCGTCGGGTGCCGGGTGGGTGTGGCCCATTGGGTGGGCATGGCTGCGGTGGTAACTGCAAACTGGGTGGGATTAAAAAGTTCGATCAATCAATTCCAATTTTGCAAGATCTTTTTTTTTCCCGCGAGAAGTTGAAATTGACTGATTGAACCTTTTTTTTTTTTTTGTACACGGCGGCGGAGGCCTAAAGCGAAAAGGTTTTATAAAACCCAGCTGAAGGCCTAGGACTGGGGCGAGGGCACGTGTACTCACAGATAGGGCTCTGAGTGCCACCTCTGGCACCCGTGCCATAGGTTCGCCACCACTAGTCTAGTTTAATGAAGAGAAGGATGAGGGGGGACATGATAGAAGTGTTCCAATATCGCAGGGACTGCCCACAAAGAAGAGGGAGTCAAGCTATTCTCCAAAGCACCTGGAGGCAAGACAAGAAGCAACGGATGGAAACTAACCAAAGAGAGAAGCAACCTGGAACTAAGGAGAAACTTCCTGACAGTGAGAACAATTAACCAGTGGAACTGCTTCCCTCCAGAAGTTGTGGGTGCTCCTTTGCTGAAATTATCCCCAAAGTGCTTTTTTTTCATGAGGCAACCAGAGTTTGTTTTTCTTTGAAGATATTTCATTTCTTATCCAAGAAGCTTTTTCAGCTCTGACTGGATGGTGGGGGAATGGAAGGATTTATATCCCTTGCAGACAGCTGGTCATTTGCATTCTTTTGGAGAGTTGTTAATGCTACCTGGAGGCTTATCTGTATCCTCAAGGTCACCTGAGTGGTGCAAATGGATGTAGAGCCTTCTTGGAACTGTTGAAAGGATGGTGTTGTAGAAAGAGGGGGAGGGATACAACATCGTCTATCTCCAGTCTACAACACAGTCCTTTCAGACACTACTACCTCGTCGTCGTCCTCCTCCTCTTCCACCCTCCTCCCTCCTTTCTCTTTCACTGTCTTCCTCCTCCTCCTCTTCCTCTCCTCCTCCTCCTCTTCCACCCTCCACCCTCCTCCCTCCTTTCTCTTTCACTGTCTTCCTCCTCCTCCTCTCCTCCTCCTCCTTCTTCCTCCTCCTTTCTCTTTCTCTTCTTCCCTTTCTGTCTTCTTCTTCCTCATCCTCTTCCTTTTTCTTTCCTTTTCTCTTTCTCTCTTCCTCTTCCTCCTCCTCCATCTGCCATCTTC